CTCTCAGAATTTTAATGCAGTCTGAAAATCTTTGTATTTGATAGAAATATGAAATCTATTTACACTTAACGTTAATACTTTTACTTCTTCCTGAGCTATGCAAGAGCCAGGATAAACTTCAAACCTAGTTACCCTATTCTGGCATAAAGGACAGTTTTCATCTTTCTCTCTATATATTAAAGAAAGCATATCAGTATATAATTTTTTAATTTATTTTTATGTGAATGGTGTTATCCATGTGTGTAAGTGCACCCATGTCATGCTGTGCCCACAGAGGACAGAAAAGGGACTCGGATACTCAGGAACTGAAATTACAGATGGTTGTTAGCCATCATGTGGGTGCTGGATTTGAACCTGGACCTTCTGCAAGAACAGCCAATGAATGCTCTTAACTGTTGAGCCATCTCTCAGCCCCAGCCTATCATTATATTAATAAGAAAAGATTATTGTCAGACTGGTGAGATGACTCAGTGGATAAAGTTGCTTGCCACCAAGCTTGATGATATAAATTTAATTCCCAGAACTTACATGGTAGGAGAGAACCGACTCCTCAAGTTGTCCCCTGACCTCTACCAGTGTTACTGTGTACAGGTGTGTGTGTGTGTGTGTGTGTGTGTGTGTGTGTGTGTGTGTAGACTGGAGATACAGGAAAGAACAAAAAGAAGGATATAAAGAATACGCCGGGTGTGGTGGCACACGCCTGTAGTCCCAGCACTTGGGAGGCAGAGGCAGGCGGATCTCTGTGAGTTCAAGGCCAGCCTGGTCTACATAGTGAGTTCCAGGACAGCTGGGGCTACAAGGAGACTCTGCTTCAAAAAGACCAAAAAAAAACAAAAAAATAATATACATAAAAATACATATACACACAAAAAAAATCAATCAATAAACTAAATGTGAACAAAAATATTATTAGCATTGCTTTGTATCCAAAATTCATTTAGATAATGCTCTTTGAAATAGCCCCAGCTGGCCTGGAACTCGCCATGTAGACCAGGCTGGCCTCAAACTCTCAAAGATCCGCCTGCCTCTGCCTCTGCTTCTTCCTCCCAAGTGTTGGGGACTAAAGGTACGTGCCACCACACCCAACTTACATCAGGCTTTTCGAACCTCAACACTGTCAGTATTTTGAGCCAGATTATTCTTTTTTATGAGTGCTGGCCTGTGTATTGCAGAGTATTTAACAGCATCCCTGCCCTCTTCCCCCAGTAATGACAACCAAAATATTTCCAGATATTCCCAAATGATACCAGTTCCCCACTTTAGAACCACTTACTTAGTTTTGCCTGAACATTTATCCTTTTTATTTCTTTTCATTCTTTTCTGTATCGCCAGTCTTCTCTTCAGATTATTTTCTTTCTCATTTGAAAATGTCTTTTAGGAATTCATTTTATGCAGTTCTGTTGAAGATAACTCTCTTCTTTTAAACTGAAAATGCCTTCATATTACCTTAATTCTAAAAGTACATTTTTGCTGGACAGATTTTTGGTTAATGGGTTTTCATTTGGTTTTTGTTGTTGTTTTTAGCATTTTCAAACTATGATTCCTATATTTTTATTTATATTTATTCTGCTTTTTATTTTTGTTTTGTCTTTTTGAGACTGGGTTTCATGTAGCACAAGCTAGCTTCAAACTTACTGTGTAGCCATGTATGATTTTTAATCCTCTTGCCTCCACTTTCCTAGTTTGGGGATTAAAGGAATATGCTGCCATGTCCACCTTTGTTGATTCAGTTGAAAAGTCATGTAAAAGTAGCATTTTTTTTTCTGACTGCTTTTTGGGTATTCTCTTTGTCTTTGACCTTCAGGTATTTTACTCTAATGCATGATGTAGGTATGATTTGTTTCTATTGTTTGGGATTCATAGCGCATTTTGAGTGTGTGTTGATAAGTTATTTGTGTAATACCATTCCCCTTATGACTTTCATATCTCTTTCCTTTTATTGTATTTTTGTTCTTCTGGTTACTTCTTTCTTTTGTCTGTCTGTCATCTGTTACTTAGATTTTTAGCCATGTTCTTTCACCTCTTCATTTACCTGATGCCCTTGAATTTGTCCCAGACATTACATAAAATTCATGAAATTTTGAAATTTCATGAATTTCGGATGATGTATTTTCCTGTCCAAAGAAGCTTTACAAATGCTTTGGGCATTGTAAGGACACTCTATCCAGTCCACGCCTTGGGTCCAGTTCTGCTGATATCACCAACACCAATCTCACTACCCCCACTGCTTGGCTCTAGTCCTTGTTTTTTGTTTCTCTCCAGCCTATTTTAAAGCTCTACTAAGCTTCTCAGGCACCTCTTCTGGAATCCACAGATGTTTCCAGAAGCAAAACTGTTTCAGACCTGGGTCCGTCTGGGTTTCAGCCCTATTCCAAATACTGACTATTTTTTACATCTTCCTACTCATTCTCAGCACATCAGTAGATCTGTTTGCCTCCTCAGAGGAAGTGCCTTCAGATTCATTTTGTTCTTTACAGGAATACAGATCCCCTTTCTCTTTGGTTATGAGTGGTAAAAAATTGTGATTCTTAAATGTTTGAAAATAGAATTATAGCTTCAAAATTATACTCCTCAAAAAAGAGTATTCCTTGAATACTCTTCAGATATTGGTCCATTATTTTCTTTCTCTCACATTACATTTTGTTTTGCTTTGATAAAGTTTCTTTCTATATAGCCTTCGTTGGCATGGAGCTCACTATGTAGACCAGGCTGATCTTGAACTTGTGGTAGTCCTCCTGCCTCTGCCTCCCAAGTACTGGGATTACAGGTATGAGACATCAAACACAGCTTGGTCCATTCTTATAGTGTTGAGAAGTTTGACTTCAGTCTAATTACCATCCCTTTGTAGGATGTCCTTCCTGTGGAAATGTTCTCAGTTTGTTTTTTTTTTTGTTTTTTTTTTTTGTCTTTGACATTCATAAGGCTTTCTATGATGTACCCATGTATAGATTGTTTAATTTTTCTTTGAAAAAAGCTTAAATATAAAACTTCTTTTTCACATGAATTTTCTGTACTTAGCTCTCGCCTGTGTTTGCTCAAGGCTTCAACCCACTCATCTCTCTCTCCTCTCTCCTTTTTTTCCAGTGCTAAGTATTAAGCCCTATGCTTTAGGGATGTTAGACAAGCACTGTACACTGAGCCACATCTCTGGCCCCATTCTCCATCTTTAAGCTCATGCCTGTCTTCATCTGTGAAGGACTCCTCATTTTCTGTCCCATCAGGAGCTCTTCTTCTCAGTAAAGCTCTATATCCATGCATTCGCTAATAATATATCTCCTATTATTTCTAGGAACTTGGGAGACAAGAAGACATGCTATATATTTGGTTTGCCCCTTTGAACCTTAGTAGTTCTTTTTATACCATTATCTACCACAGTCTCTCTCCATGCCAGGGTTCACCTGGTTTCACCTGTTTGTACTGTGCCTATATCATCTGACCTCAGCAGCTAGGAACCTTAAAGGTGGCTTCATTTCAACTCCAGCATCAAACTTTTGCTCAGGGTATTTATATATTAATTACTCCAGTCATTTCAAAACCATTACTGTTAGTCATGGAAATTAAAATATGGTTTAAACAAGTTTTATGATCTTTAGTTTAAGAGAAACTAGCATGCAAATTATAAAGAAAGTACAAGCAAACCCATTGGCTTAATGGCACCTGAAGTCAATCCATAAATAAGATAGTATTAGAAAGTAGGAGCAATAGCAGCAATGAACACGTGAGCTGAAGGGGCCGAGTAAAGGTGAAAGTCACTACATAGGGCAGTGGGCCCTAATGGACACACAGCATAAATGTTCTGCATCATCTACACATGTACACTGGCATTTTCTTGCTTTGATAATCGTGTGTGTAGACACAGTATCCTGTGATGGGTGAAGGTCATGAGAAATCAGGTCTTGGACTTCAGGGCTCTAGAGGTAATCTCCTATGAGGGTGAATTCTGTTATCCCCCTAGGCCTCCTCTAAGCACCCATTTACCACAGAATTGTGTATGTGAGTGTTAGGAAAGTGTGCCTGCTGCAGGCCAGACTAAACACTCTCCCAAGATTATCATTCTGAAATCCCTCTCTCTCTTTTTTTTTTTTTTCTGGTCTTTTTGAGTCAGGATCTCCCTGTAGCCCCAGCTGTCCTGGAACTGACTATGTAGACTAGGCTGGCCTTGAACTCACAGAGATCCCCCTGCCTCTGCCTCCTGAGTGCTAGGATTAAAGGTGTGCGCCACCACGCCCGGCTGAAATCCCTCTCTTAATCTGTCTTCCTGTTCTAGACTAACTCATTTTTTACCTAATCTAGAAATCTAAATTACTATGGACAGAAGCAAATTAACAGAGCTGTCTTAACTTTGACAAAATCAATATCTAGTTTAAGTAAGTTTTATGAAATGGCCCTCAATACTAATTGATAGTGACCTACAGATATTTACTTTAATATTTACTTTAATAAGCCACTTTATAACTGAATATGATTTATATTTATCATTTTTATCAAGGGATTTTTTTCCCTTTTTTGCCCTTTGTGTTTATCCTAATAGCAGAGATCATCTATAAATTTTGATTAACTTATTTTTCCCACTTAAGTTTTTTTATCAGTTAAGTAAACTTGAAATATCCAGAATTTTGAACATAGCTATGAAGTCACAGTTTATTATCTTTCATGTCATCCATCAGGCTTAAAATGAACAATGCTTTTAATTAATCATTTCTGATCCTTTTTTTAAAACTTAAAAACTGAATAATTTTCAAATCACTTGATACTTTTTACTCATCACATAATTTTGTCTAAACATTTGAGAAAAAGCTTATAATTCTGTAAAGTTTGAAGTACTTGGGAAATATCCTGGAGAAAAAAAAGTAAACGAAAGAAAGCATGCTTTGAACGTTTCAATCTATTAATAAAGAACGAATTTTCTCAAATATCAAACATATTTGCACATAAAACACCCAAATATTAAAGCCATTCCACATGCTTTAGTATAAACTTAAAATTTTAAACATGTTTACCTGGAAATCTAAACTAAGTAGGCTTTGCTTGGTGTCATTTAAGTCTCCAGCTGAAAGTGAAACAAAATCAGAGCTTTCTTTAAAAACAAAGAACAGAAGGGAATGTTGAAAAATGTTAGTTGACTTCTCAGTAAACTCTAGAATAGCTGCTTCTCTTGGGAATAAATGCCTTTCAGTTCTTTGTGCAGAAAAACCAGCCAAGGAAGTAACCAGGGAAAATGGTTACCAAGGGAAATATTTTTTTAAGTCACAGGAAAAGTAGAAAACACAAGCAGGAGTTAGGGTGGGGGTGGGGGAGAACATTTCCTTTGCAAACTGGAATCACAAAAATGAGCTTAAGAAATCTGTGGTTTCCCTAGGCTGTTTGCATGAAAAATACTGAAGTTTAATCTAGCCAACATATCATTTGAGATTTATCAGACTCTACAGATGGTATTCTCATTCATCTAAAGACTATATGTATCTGATTCCATTTAAATTAGGTTAATGTCAGTTAAATTTCTCTTCCCCTTTCCCCACTTACCCCAGTCTAAAGCAGAATATTATTAACAAGACAACAACTTGTTACATATTAATGCCATTAGAGATTATGTAATTTCATATAATCTCTGTGGGTGGTAAACGCCTATAATCCCAGCACTCAGGAGGTAGAGACAACAGGATTGGGAGTTCAAGCTTATTGTATGCTACATATGGAGTCTGAAGCCAGCCTAGGCTACATGAGACCCTGTCTCAAAAAAAAGTATGTGTTTTCTTCTTGCCAGTAAGCAATTTTTAAAAAGATGCAAGGGATCAGTAAGGTTGCTCATTACCTGCTATTCTAGCAAGTTAGTTGTGTGCTTTGGTCTCAGGTTTCTTTATCCACCCATAAGCAATTAGAGACAGGTCAACATCAAACCCAGCACTGCTGCCTACCGGCCTTAAATAAACCACTTAATGCTTCTTGCTAAAGATTGTTGTTTTGTACAACTGAGACAGTACGTTTCAAGTTTTGTGAAAACAAAAGGAATAACATAATGTCTGTCCTGGTGCCTGTGACAGATGTGGTGATTTAAGAACTATTTTAAATTCATAAATTCTATTTCAAGTGTCCAAAAAGTGTCACAGAGAACTGTCACCAAATCTTAAAATGACCTGGGTAGATTGAGATGAGATAATGAACCACCTGAATTCATAAAAATAATGAAAATATTTGTTCATAAAAATGTAGAACCACAAAAAAAAAAAAAAAAGCCGGGCTTTAATCCCAGCACTTGGGAGGCAGAGGCAGTTGGATATCTGTGAGTTTGAGGCCAGCCTGGTCTACATAGTGAGTTCCAGGACAGCTGGGGCTACAGAGAGACCCTGTTTCAAAACACCAAAAAAAAAAAATGTAGAACCACACTTTGAAATAATAATTACTAGTCTTAAAAGATAAGTAATTTTGAGAATCTGCTTAAAGACCAAAGACAGGTAGACGCCATCCGTAGAAAAACACCACATCCCGAAACATGTGGAAGACGATAGCTCTGCGAGTTTTCCAGGTTTGAGAATTACAGATCCTATGGGGTTGACTGGGAGCCTGTGCTAGATTCCCTGAAGTCTCCAGGATTTGTTGTTACAAGTATTCACATGTACCTGCATCTGTATCCCTAGGCTGGACAGTGAGGTAGGTGGCTCGCTGAACAAGGAACCATTGTTCAGATCCAAAAACAGGGACAAAGACACCTTAGCTCCCAACACATACTTGACAAGCTCTTCCAGATATTCAGAGCTTTTAGGTTTTATTTTCATCTTAAAATCTCACATTTGAGCTGATAGCCAAGAATTGCCAAATACATGGACTGTTTCTAACATTAGATATGGAAAATCCCTACCCCATATACATATGTGTATCCAGAGATAACTTTGGAAATTAAAAACTTAAGAAAATGGGCTGGAGAGATGCCTCAGCGATAAGAGCTCTGGCTGCTCTTGCAGAGAACCTGGGTTTGATTCCCAGAACCCACATGGTGGCTAACAACCATTCATGACTCAAGTTTGACTCCAATGCCCTCCTCTGACCTCTGCAGGCATTGCACAACACAGGTGCACTTATACACATGTAGGCAATACACTCACACATAAAATAAAAATAACAAAATATTTTTAAAAACTGGGCTGGAGAGCTATCTCAGTGTTAATAGCACTAATTGCTCTTGCAGAGGACCCAGGTTCTATTCCCAGCACCTACATAGTGGCTAACAACCATCTGTAACTCCAGTTCCAGGGGAATCCAATGCCCCCTTCTGACTTCCATAGGCACTGTACAACATGAATGCATTTACATACATGCAAGCAGTACTCATACACATAAAGGCACATGATTTTGAAATTTAGAAGTACTAAAGACAGCGTTCTTAGATACTTTAATAGATGAAGATAAGACATAAGATCCTGAATTATGGTGACATCAGACTACTGAATATCAACTCTAGAAACAAGAAAATAGTAAATGATGCCTTTAAAATTTTGAAAGGAATTTTTCTTTTTTTATATATATTTTATTTATTTTAATTTAATGTGTATGAGTGTATGGCCTGCATGTAGGTAAGTGCACCTGTGTGGTACAATGCCACAGAGGTCAGAACAGGCTGTCGGATCCCCTGGGACTGGAGTTAGGGACAGTTGTTAGCTGCCATGTGGGTGCTGGGATTTGAACCCAGGTCTTCTGCAAGAACAACCAGTGTTAACTGCTGAGCCATCTCTCCAGCCCCTGAATTTATTTTTCTTAATCAAAAAGTCATTACCAGGCAAAAAGAAAAAGATGAGTAACTCAGCTCACAAATGGACAAAACCGGGAAGTACCAATGGTTGATAAAGGCAGAAAACAGTTTCTCAACACGGGTAATGGTCAAGATGTATTCACTGAAATATATGTGTTCACTACCAAGGTGAAATGTTGGGGACAAAACTTTAGAGATAGAGCCTGAACATCTTTATTGTCAAAAGTTATCCACATAGTTCTTTCACACAGTCAGGTTTGAGGACCACTGCTAATCAGAAATCATGGCCTGATCAGAACATGCACATTGTTTTTTGAAAAAAGAGTAGTACTCATGGCATGCTATATGGATAGCAATAGAAATGGTAATATTCTTTGAAGACAACTAATAAACAGCAGTACTGCCTGCCCCATATTTCATTTCTAGAAATACATGATAGAAACATCTTTCTATATAAAAGTTTGCCCCCATAGTAGTACTTTGAAGCACTATAACTATAGATTTTATCAAAAAGTAAAAAGGAATGAACCCCACGGTATGTTTAGAGACTGAAGTAACCCCATTAAGACTTACATGCAGTTATGCACCTTATCCCCTGGATGGGAAAAGGAGTATAAAGATTAGTAAGATGGTGTATATGAAATACACAAAAATTCAATTGAAAAAACCTTACATGTGAAGTTGTCTTCAATATATCAAGAGGAAAAAGGAAATTTTCAGAACCATACATGCTTTATAATCTTGCTATCTTTTGATACATGTGACTTGACATCTTACTGAAAAGCAGATTAGAAGGGATAAACAAAAAAAATTAATAGTATTTGTCTCTGGCTGATGAAATTACAGAGAGAATTTTCCTACATGATTCTCTATTTTGACAATATTTTGATCTTTTGTACCCAGATCAGAAAAGAGTAACATTTAGAAAAAGTATAAGCAATCCAAAACAAAAGTAACTCTTGAACAGCATAGAGGAGTAACAATAACTGCCATGCTGAGATTAACATGGTTGGAGAAAATCAAATTTTACATTTTCTGAGTTTACTACCTTACAAGTTTGTGATTTAATGAATATACAAGCCATTTGGCAGAAACTATCTTAACCACACTATTTATTACATGGAAAATCTTGGTGTTATGATTTCTCTTCCTCCCTTATTATTGCAGGCACAGTTATGTCCTAAAACTTGGCTCCCATAATGCTCAGTGTTGGCCATCAAAAGGCTATGAAGAGAGTGAGCATCATGCATACCACAAGAGTCATCTGTTAGGATTCAGCCTCCAAGACTTTTCTTTCACTTGCCACTGAAGTCACCTATAGTGATTAGTTTTTATTATCAACTTAACAAAAACTAGAGTCACCTGGGAAGAGGAAACTTCAGTTGAGGAATTGTCTTGTTTGATGATTGATACAGGAGGACCCATAACACTGTTGGTGGCACTATCCCTAGGCAGGTGGGGCCTGGTCTATATAAGAAAACAAGCTGTATCTCTCAACTCTCATCAGAAAAGTTTCCTTGTGCAACAGATGGTAATTAACACAGAAACCCACAACTGACCAGTGTGAAGAGGCTACAGAGTCCTTATCCACAAATAGGACACCTATATCAAACTTCTGCCTCCCAAGACTCAGGGATCATTGCAGAACACAAGGGAAGAGGAAAGATGGTAAGAGTCAAAGGTGGTAGGTGAACACAAAGAAATAGTTTTCCAGACAACTGGCCAGTTATTCTTATGAATTCACAGCAATGGTGCCAGCATACACAAGTCCCTTGCAAGCTCAAACCCCCAGCATGAACATTGGGGAAGTGGGTAAGAAATCCCAACCCAACCTAAGGAACTTTTGGCTGCTGGGAGGGGGAGAAACACTCTTTAAAGGTTGGGACTCTTGGTAGGTAAACCAGGCTCTAGTGGATGGACCCACACTGAAGGTCATTGGGGACACAAATTAGACTCTATAGGCCTTATTATATACATAATAGAATACATTAAATTGGGTGTGGGGGCGTAAGGGGAGGTATGGGTAAGGGAAGGGATCTAAATACCATCAAATTACATTGTATGAAGATCTCAAGTTCCATTAAAAAGTTTTTTTAAGAGTTCAGAAAAAGTGAGCTTTACAAGCCAGAGAACAAACCAATAAGCAGCTTTCTTCTATGATTTTGCTCCTCCTTGAGTCCTGTCTGGACTTTCCTCAGTGATGAATTGTGACCTGGAAATGTAAGATGAGAAAACCCTTTCCATCTCAGCTTACTTTTGGTCTTGGTGTTTTTCACAGTAGTAGAAAGCAAACAAAGGCAGATTGGTCCCAGAAGTGGGGTATTGCTGTGATAGACCTGATCATATTGTTTTACAGGAGGAATGTGGAAAGATTTTGGAGCATTGGACTGGAAAAGCCATTGAGTGCTCCTGGCTTAATGGGCTGTTCTGTGGGAGCTTGGAGGATG